GGGAGGGGGGAAATTACATAGAAGACTGTATTAGAAGTGGGTATTTTTGGACCAGGGGGGCATGGCTCCCCTAGGTCCCCCTGGCTCTATCCCTGCTGATAGTCTATTTGGGTTTTCTAGATTTTGTACCAAAAATAACTGTTCATGTTCCACAGTGCTTATGGCTTTCAGAAGTGACACCCTCCGCCCACCCACACACACAAAATCTCAGAGAGTCTAAATCACTATCATTTATCAGTTAGTCATTTTAAGGGTTGTCCCCTTCAGCCTTTTTAAATAGCTTATTCAGAGCGTCTCAAAACAGTTAAACTAACTTAGTTGAATATTTAGCTAATTCCTCCCAAGTAGGCTCTAAAACTAAAAACTCATGATTCTGACCATATCACCTTAGATCCTGGTGAAGGCGGGATTCCATCTCAAATCTCCACTACAACTACCAGCTAAAGACCTTACCAACTAAGCCAGTTGACATTTTTAAGAGTCACACCTGTGGGTGCACTAGACGCATGAACTTGCCAATCAAATAAAAACATGTTGATGGGGCTGGAAGATCCAAACGTTAATGGGACTTTGACCATTACTTGGACATGTTCGGTCGAACCGGATGCAAAAACTCACCCCGTTTCAAGTCCATTCCTCTTTGGAATTCATTCAGCCTTCTATTGCATCCTCCATTCCTCTCCGACTCCACCCTCCTCAACCACCTCTAATCCTATCTCACGGGCTTCGAAAAACCCTCCAAAGCTCAAATTCACCCCGTTTTAAGTCTGCAAGTTCCTCCTCACTCAGCCTCAAGAGGTTTCCAGCTTTTGCTTATTCGTCATCTTCAAATTCATTGGATTGGGACAGAGAAGAAATAAGATGGCTCATAGAAGAGCAATAGTGGCTCCGCGAAGAGCAATGATGGATTCGTGAAGAATTATACTAGAATTCGGAGTGGAAAGCGCTCCTCCGAGAAATCTCTGAGTTGAAATGGCGAATTCAAGCCCTAGAACGCAAGAATTTTCTATAAGGAGCTTCAATGTCAGAGACAGTTGCCAACATCGTGTCGCTCTTGTAGGCACTAAGCTGAATTTGCCGAATCAAAATCAAATTGCCAAGAATGGTTCAGGGTCGATGCCAATGCTATTGCGACTGGTAGCGAGAAGGTGAAGGAGACGGTTGTTGAGGAAGTTAGGGTGTTCAAGAGCATAAAAGAGAACAAAGAGGAGGAAAGGCAGGAAAAGAAGGAGGTTCGATCATTGAGAATGGGATCAAAAGGCGAAGACGTTCAAGCAATGCAGGTTTCCGTGCAAAATGCATTTCTCCTGTGAAATTTAAGAAAGAAAAGGCAAGTTTTAGTTTGTTTAGTTTTCATTTAAAAAGTTACTTAAAAGTTTTAGTTTGTTCAGGTCTGCGAGTTGTACAGCTTTTTTTTAGTGTTCAATACTCCAGAACACCGAATTTGGTCCTTGTTTCACGCAAAAGAACAAGAATGTTGATGAATGAAGACGACTTGGTGAGGGTGGCAAAAGGATTGGGGTACCATGTGATTAGAGCTTCACTTAATTAAATGAAGAATTTACGAGAGCTTTCTGAGGTGTTGAACAGATGCAATGTTTTGGTGGGGGCTCACGGGGCAGGACTGACGAAGATGATGTTCTTGCTGGAAGGAGCTGTGGTAGTGTAAGTGGTGGGATAAGGGTTTAGAATGGGCTTTTGAAGGTGGCCGGCGGGATGCCCAGGTTAGGGCTTGGAGGAAATGAGGAGATGAAGACAAGAGATGGGGAGGGGAGAGTTCAAATGATCTTAAACTTTCAAAATAACCCTACTTTTTGAGTTTTGTATTTTTGCAGGTGGTTGAACCGGATTTATTTAGCTAACGACTGAACACCCGTTAAAAGTTGGTGTTTTTTCGACATATCAACGTGGTCGCCTGTGATTTGGGCTGGGGATATTTAGGGCCCTGATTATCCAAGCCCAGCCCAAGCTCATTTTAATCGACTGACTGAACCGGTTCCAGTCAGCTACCGAGCCGCCGAGTTAAAGACTGCGAGCCCACAAATATACAAACCAAACGAAAATTCTAGATTATTCAGGCATCCAAGATTCATCACCAATCGTTTCTTTTCCAACAAGAAATTCGAAGATCTAGCTCCTTAAAAAGTAGAATTTTGTTCCTCTTTTCGATTCCTATTTGAAATTTGGAATTGAGATTTTGAATCCTATTTTATCGAAGAATCTCTCTACAAATCAATTGTTCGAAACTCGAAGGACCTCGTAACAGAATGGATTTCGAGCTGAGAGCCGCGAGGGAGAAGCTTGAGAGAGAACAGAAGGAAAGGAAAGAGAAGGCGAGGCTAAGACTTGAAAGGGAGAAGAAAGCCAAACAAGAAGCCATTCGCCAACGAGAGGCCATCGAAACCGCTCAAAGAATTCGAAGGCTCGATGCGGCTGAAGCCCAACTCAAGGTCGACTTCCATCATTATTGCTTATAGTTTCGTTTGATCGGTCGGTTTGTGTTTAAATTTACAATTTTTAATTATTTTATACTTAGACATTTCATTGTTCATTAATTGTTATGGGTGCTTCCTTTTACATCCTCTTTGAGGGGGGAAGACCGGGGTGGTTAGGGAAACTGTTTTTATAAACTATTTAGATTTTAGATAATGGGATCGAATATAGTATCTTCCAATCTTATATGGATTCCCAACTAGAATCTTCCATTTTACATTTTTTCTTTTGAACTTGAACCAGAAATGGTTCGCCGACTGATTGATAGTCCATGAAGAGAAGTCAAGGAACTGAATCGAGTTTGTAGAAATTCTTCTGAAAATAAAATGCAAAAAACGTGACAAAAAGAAAGAAAGCAAGGAAATTGCATGATGAAATTTACAGGTATTGGAGGACATAAGTCACAATATACAGATTATCTTGCAATTCCTCATCATTAATTCAAACGTTCAATAAAGCCTTCTCTTAGGGGCAGTTACTAATCGACGACCAGAATACTGGTTGTTGATTGGATATAGGGTATAATGTCTTTCCGGTATCATAGTGGAACCCATCATATTCCTTCAAATTCTGAAGCTGAATTGGTAGTTCGAAGGGGAGAAGAGAGTTCCATCGGTAGGGAACAAACCTGAGGCCAGTAAGTCCAAGTCTGAATTCAGAGAATCAACTAGTACAGGATATTCAGAGGGGAGTTAATAGTTCTTCTCCCGGGCAAAACGAGGATACTCTAGTAGGCGTCCATGATCAGCGTTCATTGGGTATTACCAGCAAAGTCTGTCTGCAGTCGTCTTCAGCTGAAAATGATCTACAGGGATTGCTTTCCAGTCCAGAGGGTCTCGTCCCCTTCTTTTTTGAGAAACCTTTCTCTCCAGGTAAAATCGTCAATTTGGTTAAGGACACTGATGCTCTCCCTATGCTTGCAGATACCACAGATTACCAACCATTGCATGTTGTTGAGCCAAGTGGGAAGTTGAGAGAAGAGAAAGAAAAAGAGAAGGATAGTGTGAAGGGGATGGATAGCATGGAGCAAGGGGAGAGAATTTGGAAGTTGGTGCGATTTTCTAGATGAACTTAAGATCCGAGAAGGCTATGTTGAAGATTCAATTAATGATCTTGAGAAGGTGGGTGAACAGGATGGTAGTGAGCATGAGAGAGGAGGAAGGTAGCAGGTAAGAAGGAAGGTAAGAGAGAGATGGGTAGCGGAGTGGTAGAGCAGATGGGATTGCAGTTAAAGGAGGTTAGGAATGTTAGTATCTATACCAAAAAGAAAGGGAAGAAAGTAGAAGCTAGGAAGAAAAAGATGTTGGAGGTGGAGAGATTGAGGTCTGATGTAGAAGGTGACATTTTTTTTTTTTATCAATAAGGTGACATTGAGTTTAGTGCAAGAGGGAAAAGAAGGAAAGGGCAGAAGTAGAGGAAGGAGAAGATTTTGGGGATTTTAAAATAGTGGTAAATGAAAATAATAAGTTGGAATGTAAGAGGGTAGCGCTAGGAAGAGAAGGGTTATTAAAGACTTGCTTAAAAAGGAAAAGCCAGATATAGTGATGTTGCAGGAAACAAAAGTAGCAGATATGGATAGAGATGGATCAGAAGTGTGTGGAGTTCTAGAGGATAAGTTGGGTGGTGGTGCCATCTTTGGGAGCTTTTGGTGGCTTACTCACAATGTGGAGAAATGAAGAGGCCAATTAGGTATAGAGAATGTGAGGGATGGTTTCACTTGAGTGCAATCAAACATATATGGGCCAGTTAGGTATAGAGAAAGAGGCCAATTGTATTGATCAAAAGAAAAAAAACAAAAAAAAAGAAAGAGGCCAATTGTGGGAGGAGCATTATGATATTAGAGGCCTTTGGAAGGGGTTGTGGTGCCTAGGAGGTGATTTTAATGTGATAAGATTTACAAATGAGACAAACAACCCCAATCAAGTGATTCCCACAAGCATGATGAGGTTCAATGAGTTTATTGAGGATTGTGAACTAAAAGAAATACCAATTCAGTAGACCTGGTTCACTTGGTCCAATTTTCAAGCCTCCCCCATTTGTTCAAAGTTGGGCAGATTTGTGTTCAATGTTGCTTGGGAGGAGTATTGGGGAGGGATGATGGTGAGGGCTTTGCCTAGGGTTACCTCAGATCACTGCCCAATTAGAATAGGCACAAAAGACTTTTTGACAGGTCCTACTCCTTTTAGATTTGAAAATATGTGGCTCACCCATCCCGGATTTACTAGTAGAGTGAAAGATTGGTGGAATGAGAAGGTGGGGGCTTTTGATTGGAAATGAGTAAGGTTTCACAGAAAGATACAACATTTAAAGGGCAAGTTGAAGGAATGGAATAGGGATGTGTTTGGAAGAGTTGAGGAAAGAAAGTTGAATGTGACCTCTAGAATTGAGTAGTTGGATCAAAAGGAAAGTCAAAGGTTGATGACTGAGGAGGAAAGAAGCTTAAGATGGACCTTAAATGGATTAAGGAGGGTGATTGACAATACTAAGTTGTTTCATGCAATAGCCAATGGAAGAAGAAAAAGTTTTGTGGATAAATTGGAAATAAATGGTGAAATCTTGAGGAGCCAAGAGGAAATTGCAAATTCTTTTGTGGAGCATTTTTTAAGAGAGTATATAAGAAGGTGAGTGATGTAGGAGTGATGGTGGAAGGGTTAGATTGGCTAAGGTTGGACCTAGAAGCGGCAAGGATGTTGGAAAAGGACTTTGAGCTAGAAGAAATTAGAAAGGCAGTTTTCTCAACGGATAGGTCTAAAGCTCTGGGACCGGATGGCTTGATAATGGCTTTTTACCAAGATTGTTGGGAGATAATTAAATATGATTTGCTAGCAGTTTTTGAGGAATTTGTTGAGGAACATTTCCTTAGCCCTAGGATCAATTCCACTTTCTTGGCCTTGATACCCCTAAGAAGGATGATGCCATTAGTCCTAGAGATTTTAGACCTATTAGTTTGGTGACTAGCATGTATAAAATTATGTTTAAAGTCCTATCGTTGAGGTTGAAAGAGGTCCTCCCTAGTTTGGTTTCACAATCTCAAGGGGCTTTTGTTCAAGATAGAGAAATTATCGATCAAATTTTGATAGCCAGTGAATGTGTGGAGGATTATAAGAGGAGGAGGAGAAAAGGTTTCATGTAATTTGGGCTTACAGAAATGAAATGAAGAAATTCAAATGGATAACTCAGCCGATGGATGTAACTATACAATGGGTGGGGAGGAAGGCAAATGCTTTTGCTGATTCTCTAGCTAAACAAGGAGTAACTAGGGATTAGTTGTACTAGACCCACTTGTAACTTTGTGATGTTCTGTATTAATGAGTGAGGCTGCACCTCACGCCTCATATTGGGATGCTCGTAATAGACTATTTATCATTTGCTTCTAATGAAATCAATTGAATTTTTATCTATAAAAAAAATAAAAAAATAGACTTGGAGAAGGCCAATGACATGGTGGACTGGGTTTTCCTGTTGGAAGTATTGAAATGCTATGGTTTTGGGGAGAGATGGTGTGGATGGATTGAAGGTTGTTTGAAAACCTGTCATTACTCGGTACTGGTAAATGGTGTGGTGAGGGATTTCTTCCTGGCTAGTAGGGGATTAAGACAAGGGGATCCCCTTTCCCCCTCCTTTTTACCTTAATAACGGATGTGTTTAGTAGACTCTTCCTAAGAGCAGATTTGATGGACCTCTTTAAAGGTTGGATAGTAGGCAAGCTTAATACAGTGGTGACACATTTACAGTTTGCAGACGATACAATTATTTTCTGTGAGGGTGGGGATCCTTTAAAGGCAAGGCAGTTGAAGGAGGTGATCAAGTTATTTGATCATATGTTTAAGTTGAAAATAAATTTCGAGAAGAGTTGTGTGGCAGGAATGAATTTGGAGTAGGAGGAGCTAAAAGTAGCAGAGTCTTTAGGATGCCCGATAACTGTTTGGCCATTGAAATACCTTGGGATGCCACTAGGAGACAATCCAAAAGAAAGTAGGTTTTGGAACCCAGTTGTGGAAAGGTGTTCTAAGAGATTGGTTACCTGGAAGAGAAATTATATTTTGATGGGAGGTAGAATTACATTGATAAAATCCACATTAGCAAATTTGCCAATCTATTATTTATCGGTGTTTAGAATGCCACGGAAGGAAGTGATGAAGCTAGAAAAGTTGATGAGAGATTTTTTGTGGGAGCTAGGGGAAGGTAGAAAGGATCATTTAATCAAATGGGATGTAGCGTGTAAAAGTAAAGATCAAGGGGGTCTAGGCATAGGAAACCTAAACAAGAAAAACTCCTCTCTACTAGGTAAATGGCTTTGGAGGTGGACTTAGGAGAGGGGAAGATTGTGGCAGGAAGTAATTGGTAGTATCCATGGTTCTGCAGGCAATGGTTGGGATGCTGGGGTATCGTCGAGGGTTACTTTGGCTTCTCCTTGCAAATCTATTTGTGGAGTGCTTCCTCACTTCCTAAGCCAAATCAGGTATGATGTTTGCTCTGGAGATAAGATTCTTTTTTGGAAGGACCTTTGGATTGGTAATTCAATCCTTAAAGATCTGTTCCCCTCTTTGTTTTCTCTTTCTTTGTTTAAAAAAGAACCTGTCTCTCACTTTGTTTCCCTTTCTGAGTTGACTGGGTTAAGCTGGAACTTAGGGTTAAGAAGAAATTTAAGGGACCTTGAATCAAAAAGGGCAACCTCGTTGTTACAAATTCTTGATTCTGTTGCCCTGGATTTCTCTAAATCAGATGGCCAGATTTGGATTCCACACCCCAAAGGTCGTTTTTCTTGTGCCTCCTTTTTCTCTTTCTTGTATTCAGACCCAAACTCTCTTCTTTGCCCTACTGATGAAATCTGGTCTAAACCTATTCCTCCTAAGATTGGGGCTTTGTGCTGGGAAGTTTTCCATGGGAAAATAAACACTCTGGATGTTTTGCAAAAAGGAAGACCCTTTATGTGCCTGTCCCCTAACTGGTGTACCTTGTGTGAAGTAAGTGGAGAAAACTATTACCATCTTCTGATATCCTGCCCTTGATAGTCTCTGGGAAAAGATTTTTGAGCTTCTTGGTCACAGGTGGAGCTTGCCTACTCAGATTAGAAGTCTCTTTGAACCAACGATCTTCAGTTGGCCAAAGAGAAGGGGTAAAATTCTGTGGAGATGCATCAGGGCTGCATTGATTTGGACGGTATGGGAAGAAAGGAATGGCAGAGTGTTCAATGATAAAGAAAGAAAAAAGGAAGCAGTTCTGGATTGCATCTTATATAGAGCTTTAATGTGGGCCAAGTCTCTAAAGTTATTTTCTGATTTCTCCTTTGATGATATGTGGAGAAATTTCTCCTTTTAGAAACTATGAAGGTCATGTTATTGCTGTGTTCTCAGGTCCAATTGGAGTAGGGGGCTCGGTTTTTGCAGAGTTCCAAGCTGTCCTGCAAGGAGTAAAGCTTGCTAGAGATTTAAATTATGATAAATTGTTAATTCAAGGTGACTCTAAACTGGTAAGGGTGGTTGAAGGAAACTGAAACTATAATTTGGAAATACAAAGAATACATGAAAAGATTTAAGTGGCTGGTAAGAGATATGACAATTTCAGTCCAATGGGAAAGGAAGTTGGCTAACGGGATGGCTGATTTCCTTGCAAAACAGGTGGTGCATAAGTCTGAATTATTCTGGGCTCAGTTGTAATTTGGTTATATGGCTGGGGCTGCATCTCGCACCTCTGCTGGTTGTACTCTGTAATCTTGTGATACTTAACTATGTTCTAATAAACCTTATATCATTTATCAAAAGAAAAAAAAGAAACCCTTGTCTCGTGGTTATAATAAACTCTTTTCTTTGGGCATATTTAAAAGGTGGATTACAGGTCAATCTAGTGAGTTCCTTTTCTCGGTGTATAGCTCAGTTTGTCTAGATCATCCCTCCATGTGGTTGAAATGTGGCAGGTCATGTAGGGAAGTTCCCTACTTCCCTCCAGGGTTATGTCCATATAGTTTTCTTTATGATGAGTTAAAAGCTGATTTTCCTTAAAATCAAGTCCCTGTAAAGTATTGTACCATCTATTTGAAGGGCAACTATAACATGCTTCAGTGCCATATTGCCGGACAAACTTCATAGCTTATTAAGATTATTTATGGAAATCCTCAACTACAAAGAAGAGTGAGGATTTCTCCTCATAGGTTTGCATTGGCTGAAGGAATTCTACTGGTCATGGAAGATTAAAGATTGAATAGTGATACTATACACCACTATATCTATTTCTTAGTTATGGGCCCAAATTTAGCCTTCTCGTAGCACATAGAAGAAAGATCAATCAGATAGAACAACTTCCTAACAGTACATCTTTACAACTGAAACATTATAAGCTACAATAAGAAAGGAAGAAGATAATGGAGCATGCACATCTAAAATTTTAAGATAATCTGGAAAATAATCTGTCTAAAACAGAACAAAGATGTATGGATTTGATTGATCATCTCTATCATTTTCCAGGTTGTTATAGAGGATGATAATTTCAATTGAATGGAGACAATTTTGATCAAGATTACTTAGACATTGAGTGTCTATGGTCTATACTGGAACAAATTCTAAGTGCATTTTATATGCTTTGGTGATTATTTTGGGATCTTTTTGTTCATCTGTGTAAGGGGAAGGGATGGAGTGGGGCATTTTTTGATTGTTCAGGATTGAGTCGTACTCGAGCCTTGAACAATCACCTATTATATCTGGAAGGTGTGTTTGTGACTGTAGAAGATTGAACCACACTTAAACCTTTGAACAATCGCCTATACTAAACTACACTCAATTCAACTCAATTAAGCCTTGCCCCAATTATATGTGATCAGCTACATTAAATCTGTTCTACCATTCTGTTCTGTTCAGTGCCATATCCAGTTTTAAATTATGGGCCCTCAAATCATTTTCACTACTTCAACCCATGTCCTTTTTGGCCTGCCCCTATCTCTTCCAAACCCTGAACTTGCCACAAGTCACTTCTTCTCTTAGTGTTGAATTTTGATGATCTTCTTTGCATGTGACCAAATCATCTTAGTATATTTCCCTCATTTTATCTCCTATTGCGGCTACTCCTAAGTTCCTAAAAAATGTTCATTTCTGATCTTGTCCTTTTCAGATATCTTACTCATCCATCTCAATATTGGCATTTCTGTTACACTCCTTTTCTAGTATATTGTTTCTTGGCTTTCCAATACTCTGCTCCATGTAACATCACTAGTCATATAACTGTTTTATAATTTTTTTTAGCCTAAGTGGTATTCTCCTATTGCATAGGACCGGATGCATCCCTCCATTTCACCCATCAAACTCTAATTCTATGGGAGATGTCCTCCTTAATTGAACCATGATGTAATATGCCAAGATTTAAAAAAAATGTCTTCATTCCCAAAAAAGCCTATAGATCGTGGTCATTAGATTGCACACATGTTCAACACATTTTAAGCTGATTTATCACCAACAATTGCTGATTGGCTGCCTAGCATATCTGATACATGGTGATTTTGAGTCCTTCCATCACTCCCACCCAAAATACCTTCCTTCCCCCAATAAAAAAGGGGGAAAGGAATGAAAGGATAGAAACACAGGCACCCACAACAAAAAACATGATTCTGGATACTCAATAAAGATGATATCAGTTTATGCATTTATAATGTTTGGAAGATTGGTAGGGATGTGTAACACAATTTATGCAAGAATATCTGTTTTCTCTTGTTCATATTTTCCCTTCAATATTTAGCACTTTCATGGCTAATTTCATGAATACAAGTAAATTAATTAATCACAAAGCCTTTTATTTCTAACACAGGCTAATCAGCAAATGGAAGAAAGTTTGCTAGCTGGGAATGGTGTCATATTTTTTCGTATTTTAGAAGCTGTGCCTTACCAGGGCTATGGAGATAAGATCAAGTTGCCACCTTCTTGCTTCACTGAATTGTCTGATCAAGGCGCTCTTGATAAAGGGCCTATGTACTTTCAACTTTCAAAGGCTCAAAAAGAGGGTTCTCCAATCACAGAAGCCACTGAACAGCAAAGCCAAGGTATTACCCACTCTGGTGTTCTGGAGTTCACTGCAACTGAAGGATATGTTGAGCTTCCTCCTTATGTATGGAGTAATTTATTCCCTACTGACCCTCCAAAGGTTCCCTTGATTGAGGTTCGCTATGTTAGGCTACAAAAAGGAACATATGCCAAATTACAACCAGATGGGAGGGGCTTCCTGGACATACCCAATCACAAGGCAATTCTTGAAACAAGCCTCCGGCAGCATGCTACTCTCTCTCAAGGTGATGTAATCATGGTCAACCATGGAGAACTAAGCTACAAATTGCGGGTTCTAGAGCTAAAGCCATCTTCTAGTGTATCTGTACTGGAAACAGATATTGAGGTTGATATAGTAGGGCCAGATTCGGCTTCAGAGAGGACAGATGGTTATGTCTTAATCCCTCTCACACTAGGAAAGGCTGAATCTGGAATTGTTGAGGAAGGTAAATACAACTATTACAAGTTCACAATAGATACTGAAATTAGTCGCAAAGTAATCTCTGGCTTTTCCAGTATTGAGGTTAAGATAGAAGCAGATACAAATGGTGGGGATACTGATCTCTATGTATCCAGATATCCTGTCTTATTCCCAAATCAGCATCAGCACCAATTGTCGTCCCATGATGTGGGTTCAAAGGTTTTGATTCTCAACTCTAATGACGATAGCCTGGGCAGTATCTATAGCATTGGTGTCTATGGCTTCAAGGGAACAACAAAATATCAAATTACTGTTGGAGTTAAAGATAATAATAATAATTATAGGGTTGGTGAACAAGCAATTTCTTCCTCATCAACACTGGATTTGGACTCTGTAGCATGTTGGAACTGTAAGCACTATATACCTAGTAGGAGTATTGCACTGCATGAAGCTTTTTGTAGTAGGCACAATGTTGTCTGTCAGCATTCTGGATGTGGGGTTGTTCTCAGAAAGGAGGAGACTGCAAACCACGTGCATTGTGAGAGATGCAGACGAGCCTTCCAGAAGGCAGAGATGGAGAAGCACATGAAAGTGTTCCATCAGCCACTTCACTGCCATTGTGGAGCAGTCTATGAGAAGGAAGAGATGGTAAGCAATAGAATGATCAAAATTCTTCCATATATATATATATAATCCTAATTAGTTTCCCTTTGAAAATTCCACGCTTTCTATACCTTATATCCATCAGTTATCAATCTATGAATTACAATTGACAGTCTATCCCTTGGATTGCTTGGGTTCTCACTGTTACACATGATGAGAAATCACCACTCTTTCGGCCCAGGTCAAGAAATGTTTTGTTTTTGTTTTTTTTTTTTTTTTTTTTNGGTAGTCCTCCATCAGTTGCAAGATTTTAGATTGATTAAATATAGTGCTGGTTTGAGGGAAACATCAAAACCTCCATGAAATAAGTGGTAATGCTTAAATGCATCAAACACAGTTCCATATTTTAGGAAGAACATGAAGGCCAATTACTCAGAATGCATATATTTTTTTTATGCCTATTTACTAAAAACCTAATAGGTTTTGTCTCAAAAACTGGATATGACCACTTAATGGGTATGAACATGTATTTTAATTCGTCTTAATCTTCATGTTGTACAGGTTCAACACCAGTCCACTGTCTGCCCCCTGCGCTTAATTACATGCCGGTTCTGTGGGGACATGGTTCAAGCTGGGACCTCTGCAACAGATGCTCGAGATCGATTGAGAGGACTTTCTGAGCACGAAAGTGTCTGTGGGTCTAGAACAGCTCCATGCGACTCGTGCGGGCGTTCTGTCATGTTAAAGGAGATGGACATCCATAGAATAGCTGTGCATCAAAAGAATTGAAGGTGAAATTTTAGGTTTATTTTGACATGGTGAAAGTTGCCAAGGGCAGGGAGACTTTTGAGGTGTTCATTCCGGTGCACTAGACGAACAATACAATCCATATGTTTATTGCTAAGTGAAATTTATTCAACTGTGTTTCAGTTCCAATAATTATGTGAGCTTGTAACTATTGTATTTGAAAGGTGATAAAGAAGATGCTTGACTTTTTGAGTGCCAGCTTTTCCCACTTCATCAGCTAGTCGTGTCACAGAGAATGTTATTGAATGGACACCCTTATAATCGGGCTGTTTTTAGTTTCTCTTAAAGGTTTGGTTTGTGATTGACCAAACTTAGTTCTTTGTTTGATATTTTCTATTTCGTTTGTTTGGAATTCATCCACTTTGGAAATTTTAGCTTTTATTTTAATCATCACTGATTTGTTCTCTGTTACCACTCTTTTGCTTTCTTCTGTAAGTTCTCAGGTTCTGAAGAGTATTTGATGCAAGAACTGCTAATACAGCTTGGTTATTCTTTTAATAGATGGGAATATTCAACAACTAATGTTTTTGTTTTCATTTGTTTCTGGAATCGCCATATCAGCAAGAAAACAAAAAACAAAAAGATGTTCTTGAACTCTGTTTTTGTTTTGAAAGGGAAAAGTAAGTTGGTTAAAAAAACAATAAACCAACACAAAATAATGGTTTTTAAAACAAAAACAAATTTTCTAATATAAAAATGATATGATTTATGAATATGTTATTAAATAGTTAGATGAAAACATGTTTTTAAAATTAGATTTAAAAACATATTTTTTTATTTCAGTATTGAAAACAAAAAGCACACAACGTACGACATGTTTTTTGTGTTTTTGTATCTGTTTTCAAATCGGATGGTTTTAATTTGTTTTTGAAACCAATAACAAGAAAAACAATTCACGTTGTAGAATGCCTCCGTATTGAGATCAGCGGAACCGATGAATAATTGTTTGGTTCTGAGTCTTTTATAGAACCGTTAAAATAATTGGTTTGGGGATGGTCCACACCAATTTAACAATTTTAGGTCGTTCGTCCGCCATGTTGATCTCATCCCAAGGGCTCTTTTTCCTGTCGAAAAGTATTTTTATTTTTAATAATGTCCGTAGGGGTTACACAAAACGGGGGTAACACGTCCCCAACAATCTGTCACATGGTTTTTAAAAATGATCCGGAGACTGAACCGGTCAGGGGTCTGGTTATTGGGTCGAATGGTCCAACTGTTCGACCTGAATGGTCAGTCCTTTCTGACAAAACAAAAAAACAAAAAACAGTCCATCTACTGCCTAATTAGCCTCTCAAAACACGTGCCGGTACGTAATGCCAAACTAGAACTCGTCCTTCAACTGGATGCAGGTTGTGATGATATGCTTCATCTTTCAAGGTGGATCAGTCAGTCTTTTTTCTTTAGACAGGAAATGGCAAGGTTGGAGTCACCTTGGATTGATGGTATTTCTTAATATTTAAGGTTCCAAGCAGCCTACATTTCAGCAACGTTTATAGGGACAAGACCCAACTTATAGGCTTTGATGTCTAAAACCTTTCCCATATTACCACTGTACAAAATCCTTCACTACTACGAGATGCATCAAGGTTGACTTTTATGTGACCAACGTTTGGAGGTTTCCAAATAATATAGTTGATTTGTCATTATTGTTTTCTAATAGGCTTTCATTATAATCCCTAAATAAATTGAGAGCTTTGTCAATTACAAATTGGGATGGGATATTTGCTTTCTTGAAAACTTTTTGATTTCTATTTTTCTATATTTCCCACAGTATACAAGCAATTTTTCCTTTTCTTGTGAACTTTTTTCCTACTGTATCCTTGTTTAATCTCATCCACCAATCCATCAATGAAAGGTCGCTCTCCTTAGGATCCTAAATAGAAGGGTTTAATACTTGCAAAATTTGTTTGTGAATGCACACTTTTTTAATATACGTTCTGAATCCTCTTCCCCACAAAAATCGCAGGTAGGAAGTCTAAGTCTATTATTTAGGAGAAGATATAAAAAGGTTTTTAATTTAATATTCCAAATGCTTGAGAGCCAGATTGTGGAGTCTTCTCTTCTATTTATCAAGGAGCATCTCAATTTGGATTGTAACCCCAAATTAACTTATCCTCTTAACTCGATATGAACATTGGTTTGATTTTCTGTCAAATTCTGTTTGGAACCAAGGCATTTATTTTCTATTCATTCCAACACTCTCTTTCATGGTCTATCATATCCGAGACAAGGCTACTATCGTTATCATGATTATTTCCATTTAAAATTTCAGCTAGTGGTTTTTCCCCACCCAAATATCATGCAAGAACTTTATGGACTTACAATTACCCACTTACCATTTGGCTGCTTTGAAAATAAGATCCCTTGCATGGAGCATTCCCCTCCATGTCCGTGACACATCTTTTTTGGAATTTGCAGTTCAAAAATTATCTCTATTTAGGTATATTTATCTTCCACCAATCTAACCTGGGGGGGAGGGACTTTATCTTTGAATTTTGTCTATTTTATCAATGATAGAGCCTGGAATTCTGAAGGAGCTCATGAAGAATTGGGGCATCATATTTGTAGAGTTCTTTTTGTAGTTTGCCAATTTTTGTATCATTCTATCTTTTACACTTGAAAATGCATCCTTATTGACCCTTTTACTCTTTTAGTGATTATGGGGGCACCAAGGTAATTTTTTGGGCTAGCATCCACCGGGATTTTGAGAACTTTAGCCATTATTTTTTGTAATCTACCCTAGATATTCTTTGAGGGCATTCTTTTTTTAGATTTTGAGAGGGAGGAAATTTGGTCAATGAGATTTTGGTTTCCATTGATCAAGAATCCCATGTTCATTTTTCAAATTAATGTGGGTAGGGATGACAATTTTCCCCATTTCCCAGATCCCCGTGGGGACCTGCCCCGAATGGGGCGGGGATGGGGATGATTTCCCTCCCATGGGGACAGGGATGGGGAAATTTTCATCACCGTTAGCGGGGACGGGGAGAGCACTCCCCGCCCCGCAAGGACCCCGATCTCCGCCCGTGGATTTCCCACTAATATATATGTATATATGTATGTATATGTTATATATGTACACATATGTCTATATAATAATGTTTTAAAAATATGTTTGAATCTTTTTTAATAGATTGAAAATTTTAATTATTTTATTTTATTTTTTTAAATAAAATAAAAAAAAAACAAAAACAAAATTATTAACATTATAAAAAAATACGGGGGATGGGGATAACCTTGTCCCCATTAGCGGGGATGGGGAGAGGCTCCCCGTCCCTTCCCCGCCCCATTGCCATTCCTAAATGTGGGGACCAGGGAAAGTTTATTTTACCCAGGAAAATGATACCCATCTCCTAGGTGGGCAAAAAACTTTCCACCTAAGTGGAAAGTTGCTAATACTTGAATGGGATACAAATGCCCCTTTTAATAATGGATTTTTATGATTAAAATGGTCATTACCTTATTTACCTAAGAAATAAAAGAACATGGATAAATGCACTTACCCAGATAAATAACTTACCGAAAAGTGAACAAGGCCTTAGAGAACAACACCTTAGAGAACAACATAGAGGGCTTCTTAAAATTTGGGTGATGGCCAGAGGCATTAGCATAATCATTTAGGATTCCTTTGATTTTTGCATAGGTTAGGAATGTGGGTTTTGCAAAAATCATGTCGTCATCTGCAAATTGCAGGGTGGGGATTTTGGATCCCCCTAGAAGCACTAAAGTCATTTGTAATGCATCCATTTCTAATTTCCTAGACAAAGCTTCAACACAAAGTATAAAAATATAAGGGGAGAGGGTGTCACTTTGTCTTATGCCTCTCTCAGGCTTGAACTCATCAGTTGAACTCCCATTAATTAAAACTCTGTAGGAAAGTGATTTGATACATTCCATCACCCGTGCTATATCCACTTCTCATGAGAGCCAAATCTTCTTAACACCTTTTCTATGAATACCCATTCAAGTTTGTCATAAGCTCCATGTCAATTTTACATGCCATTACCAGATGATCCTATATTTTTTCATGGTATGTAACATTTCATGAGTAATAAGGATATTATCATCGATTTGCCTATTGGGAATAAAAAAAAGCACTTTGATAATGAGAAATGATATTATCTAGAATATATTTAATACTATTGAATAGGATTTTGAATATAATTTTATAGATCACATTACATAGACTTATTGGTGGAAAATCATTTACTGTTTATGGATTCTTAGTGTAATAAAAGTTTGATTTAAAATATTACACATTTTACCATTATGGAAGAAGGATTTTACCACATTGCAAACCGAATCTCCAATGATACGCCAGAATTTTTTAAAAAATGAAGCATTCAGCCCATCTGGACCTGACGCTTTAAGGTCCTTAATGGTTTCTAGAGTCTTGTTAATTGAGCATTCTACTCAATTTCAGAAGGAGCAGAAAACAATTGTTTATACCATTAATGAATTCATCAATCCCACTTGTACCATTCGACTGAAATCTTTGTTTAAACTTATTAGAGAACAGGTTAGCAAAGTCTCGTTGACCCATACACCCAAATCATCTTTAACTTTTAAAATTTATTTCTGTATTTTCTGATGCGAGTCATTGTGTGAAAGAACCTGTTATTTCTGTCTCCAGCTTTAATCCATTTTATCATTGATCTCTGTGCCCAATAAGTCTCTTCCCTCTCCAAAATTTTATGAAGTTGTTCCTATAGGGCACATTCAAGATTTATGATCGTATCATTTAAAGGCTGAAAAAGATATTTTTCCTGAACATGTTCTATTCTTGTTAATAATTCTCTCTCTCTCTTGAAGATGTCTCCATAATAAACCCTATTCCATTTTTTAATTTTTTTTCACGAGATTATTTCTCTTTCTAATGAATTGGATCGCTCCAAACATCATTGGTAAAGACTCAATCTATTCTTTCCATAATCCTTTTATTTCTCCATGAAAATCGATTGCCTTTCATTTCCATATGATGAGGGCAAATTTGACCCTCCAATGATATTGTGACACATGGCACCTCAGAACAACTAGGTGACACCTGGAACCACTCAGGTAATAACTTGTCAAGTTGAACAATCCGGAGGGTGGTCAAGGTGCATTGCGGTTACCTCCGAGGATCTCAGACCAGTTAGACACGACCTCCCGGAGATCTCGGGGGCAGTACATGAGCAAGGCCTATATAAAGGCACCAACCCCAATGACAGGCGAGTAAAAAAAAAAGTAAGCAAATAAGCAAGTAAGCAAATTCTAGCTCTCATATTCTGTGATTTTTAGCTTGAAGTCTACTATGAGAGTATTGACTTAAGCATCGGAGCGACCTCGCCGGGTTAGCCACCCCGAGTCCTCTAACATTTGGTTCCTTGCAGGTCCCTAAAGAGCAACGA